TTTTCTCTTCTTTTTTTTTTTTTAAATATTGGTTAGTGTCCGGCCAACTCACCCATCTCGATTAATCAGAAATTTTTTTAATTATATTTATTTACTTGGAAAATTGAGGGTCGACCTATACTATTTCAGGCTTTCCCAACTACATAGCCTCTATATGTTCTTTTTTTAATTCAAGCATATCATCTCTTCGACAGGCATGTCATCTTTTCGACATATATCAAATATTATTATTCTTTGGTTGTACACCTACTTTTTAATCTAGAAGTCTTGAATTTAAATTTCCATTATACCATTTTTTTTCTTTTTATTTAAAGATATTTTATATTACAAATTGTTTTCTCTTTTAAACAAATTTAAATAAATGATACCTATTAAAATTTATCTTATTTTCTAAAATAAAATAACTACTAATTCTAATCGATAAAATTAAATAATTACTATTAAAAAATTATAAACAATTACTAATCGTACACCTTTAACTCTTTAGTAGACAAATATAACATTAGACAAATAATAAACAAATCTCACAGTAATTATAAAATGGCTAATCATACATGTAAACGATAAAATCAGAAGAGGAAACAAACGATTACACAAAAATTGTCTTTCCCAACCATAAAAATGAGGTAAAGATATCGTATCTCCCTTATTACTAGCATCTATTTATATCTATGCTATTGTTATCAATAGTATCTATTTTATTGTTGGTATATCTCTCACACTCAAATAAACAAATGAGTTTTCTTGACCCAACCTTGACTTCAACATCAGGCAAATGAAAAATTATCCCATGATAGTTAAGATGCAAGCATTAAATGTCAAATTGACATGCAATTTGATTTCTTGTTACTCGATATATGTTTGACATATTTGTTTTCAAAAACAGCTTTCAAATTGTGTTATCTAAATCGTGGAAATTATAAAAACGACATTAAATTGTAGGGCTTCCAACGCCACAAAGGGATACGAAATACTGAACCAAACAAATAAATTGATAGAGACTACAAAAGTAGATAAAAAAATATATCAAAACAAATAAATTGTTTGGAGAGCCCAATCTCTTTACTATTGATTAAGTACATTGAAGATTATTAACTTTCAGGTCACTAATTCAACCAACACCACTAACTTAGTGGGATAAAGGCACTACACATTATAAGTAACAATAATTTATAAATAAATAACTTCTCAACAGTCAAAGCGAGCATAACTCAGCGGTAATTAGCATATACATCAAACCAATAGGTTGTGAGTTCACTTCTCAACTAATAAATAAAACTGTAGTTAATTTTAACAAGACATCTCAACATTCATCCTCAAATGAGAGAGTTACTAGCATTGTCACTATATGTTACTTACTGGAGGACCATTAAATTAAATAATTACTAAATAATACACAATGAACAACTGTTGATTTTTTATCATCAACGTTACGTGCGCAATCAACATAAGAAAATACAACAAGAAATTAGACTTTGGAATAAACAAACCATATAAATGGAATTATTTTTAGGTATTGTAATACCATATTCACTACTTGCTAGTGAACTGTTGATAGTCTACAAAGAAATTGACTTAGTCTATTAATAATACGTGAAATTTTAGGCATGGTGTACACGAGATACTGCAAAGCTCCAACTACACTTCGTGTGGTATAAACTTAATTATACATAAATAGAAAAAATTACTTATTTTAAATGAATAAACATATTTAGAATGAATGGTTTTTTTTTGTTCTTTTCGCAAAAAGTATATAAGAATCAAAAAAATTATAAAAATCAAGATATGCCAAACAATGGAGTGAGTGGTTCCACGGCAACCAGGAAGCCAGTTGACCCATGGAAATTTGCTTATAAATTAAGACTTTTGAAATTCTACCGTGATTTATTATTAGTGCATTTTTGTTTTTGATATCCGTGAGTGTCCGAACCAACTTACGCACACCTCGACTAATCTCACGAGACAATCGTCTAATTCTACAACATTTGGTTTTCGAAAACCCAAAATAATTACTAATTCATGAGGTAAATGACCATCATGAGATTTTGAATAAAAAAAAGAGTTATTATCAGTAAAAATCGTAAAATTCATGAGAAATTAAACAACGACCGCATTTCATATTCCCACTTTTGATATCGCATGTCATTTGGTAGCCAATTATTAATTTACTATTTATTGATTTTTTATGACATACTTTTAAATTTATATATTAAAGGAAGGGAATAATAGTATAACATATCTTTACCAATAAATTTAAATATATATCATTAAATTAATAGTTGAATAGCATTATTTTTTTATTTGAATAGTAGTTTAATAACATTATATTTCTATTAACAGATTTTGTGCTATAAAAAAAAACAGATTTTGACAAATGTTGTATGGAAGTACTGGAATTAAAATTTTAAATATAGAATTGATTTTTTTGACCAAATAGAATTGAGAATTTTAAAAAGATTAGATTACCAAAATTTTATTTTTAATTATCGATACGTTTGGTTGGGCCATAAAAATAATATTGAATTTTATATTTTATTAAAATTAGAAAAAAAAGAACCCTAGGGTTGTTTTCCTTCGTTCCTCCCTTTCTATTTCACGGCTTCCTCCTCCTGTATCTATCTCAGCGAAGCTGCGGTTTCCATCGAGCTCGCCCAGACTGAGCTGCGAAAATGGTAGGCCTTCTTCAAATCCCGTCTGTTTCGGTAGCCTACATTCATGTTCTAGTGTTTACAGATATGAATTCGTTTTCATTTTAGTTAAAATCACATGCTGTTTATATGCATTTTATTTGAATCATGATCTTCTTTTTTTCGTACTCTTGACAGGCTCCGAAGAAGGCTGTTGGAAAAGCTTCAGCAAAGAAGAAGCCGGTAAACGATTTTTACGTTTGTATAGTTTGAGTTCTTGTTCCATTCTCGGTTGCTTTGGTTTATCACAGTGTTGGGTTGTTTGCAGGAGAAGGTGGTGAACCCGCTATTCGAGAAGCGTCCGAAGCAGTTTGGAATCGGTGGGGCATTGCCGCCCAAGAGGGATCTCACACGCTTCGTTAAATGGCCGAAGGCTGTTCAAATTCAGAGGAAGAAGAGGATTCTCAAGCAGAGGCTGAAGGTTCCGCCGGCTTTAAATCAGTTCACCAAGACCCTCGACAAGAATCTTGGTAATAAAATCGAGTAGCTTTGGTCAACAGTGCAGATTCCTATCATATGATCAGTCAAGAAATTTTTTAAATCAGTTGTTAGGTTTTAGATTGTTATTATCGTATAGTTTTGTTAATTACGACTTTTAGCCCTCTTGGGTTTGTGACGTTTCCAATGCCGTTTTTTCAAACATTCTCTCACTTTCTCGACTTTCGAATTCAAATTGAAACTCCTGTAGTTAAGTATAAATTTTGCTAGGTTATAGAAGCGATAATTTGTTTGATTGCTCTTAAGTTTATAGATGTGTGTAAAATGTTTTGCTAAGGTAAAAACAGATATAAATAGTTCCGTACCTTATTGTTTGAAGGTTTTGTTTGGCTACTTTGAGATATTATGTTTTGATCGACAATGACAATACGAGTTTACTTTGAAGCTGACCGACAATGCAAGATTGTTTTGGAAGTTGGTAGTGAACTTCAGTTTCTTGGAGTAGATTCTTGATCAAACCTTCTTTCTTGTTTGATTTCTTGGATTATTCTTATTCCTTGTCACAATTTGGGTAATTTAGGAGCTCTCATGACTGAATTGCTGTAATTTGTTGTTTCTCTTTAGATAAACCTCAATTTTAGTGCCCAGTGAGTGAACTGTAGTGTGTCCCTTTATCTTTTCAATGGTTTCTTGGAACGATGTGATAGTTTCTGACCTGATTCCAGAATGCTTCTGGTCATCATCATAGTTTTGGCTGGACTTTAAGTGTAATTTTGCCTTTCTCTTTTACTTTTTTTTCCCCTTGATCTTTGTTCTAAAGTGTCTGGAGTGTTGGTTTTGAGTTGAATTTCTGTCATGCATACGCAGCGACAAACTTGTTCAAGATGCTTTTGAAGTATCGGCCAGAGGACAAAGCTCAGAAAAAAGAACGTCTTCTAAAGAGAGCTCAGGAAGAGGCTGAAGGCAAATCACATGATGCCAAAAAGCCTATTGTTGTTAAATATGGTCTCAACCACGTTACCTACCTCATTGAGCAGGTATTTTTTTATACCATACACGTGACTTAATTTACTCTCTTCGACTGTTATACTTTATGGAATCAAACATGCTCCTCACTGACTGTGTAATGAAATATATTTTCTTTTCAGAACAAGGCACAGCTGGTTGTGATTGCACATGATGTCGATCCGATCGAGTTAGTCGTTTGGCTCCCAGCCTTGTGCAGGAAGATGGAAATTCCATACTGCATTGTGAAAGGAAAAGCACGCATGGGAGCGGTAACCTGTTTTCTTCCCCTTACAATTATTTTCCAATCCTATGAAACCACAGACAATTGCTTGATTACTTTCAGCCTTAACAGATTGTCCATAAAAAGACTGCATCCGTCTTGTCCTTGACAACGGTCAAGAATGAAGATAAGTTGGAGTTCAGCAGGATCCTAGAAGCTATCAAGGTGAGACTAGCACATCTATAATAGATGCTACACCTGACTAGTAACTCCGAGTAGAGCTTAACTTCGATACTTTTGCTATTGTTTTGTTTGTTAAGGCAAACTTCAACGACAAGTACGACGAGTACCGGAAGAAGTGGGGCGGTGGAATCATGGGATCAAAGTCACAGGCCAAAACCAAAGCAAAAGAGAAGCTTCTTGCCAAGGAAGCTGCTCAAAGGATGTCTTAGGAATCTACAGGCCAACACTAGATTGGTGAAAAGCAGAGGATGTCAAAGGATGGCTTAGGAGTCGGTAATGAGTTCTTGTCCAACTTAAGTCTTTTCTCTTTTCAGATTTAAGTTTATCGGATTGAGTGATCTAGTTTGTTCATTACCCTACGAGTAGTACCTATTCAAGGCAGGAAATTATGGAGAGTTTCTATTTGGACGCCAATTTTGCTGTATAAGTTGTATTATCACGTTTTGCCTAAATTATGAACTTACAATTTACTACTATTCACATGTGCTCTCAATTGAAACCTCATATTATTTGATATTAAAATTGTTCCTTGTTTTACAACTTCAAATATTTATTATTTTTTTATGTAGAGAAAAAGTGCTATTAGCAAAAGTGTTCCAAAAAGTTTTAGGTTTTCTTTTGTGTGTTTATTTTTCGTTATTCTTATATTGTTAATATTATTTTTTATATATAAAAAATTTGTGCATGCACTGATTTGCATATTTTTAGAAATTGTTTTCTCTTGTATTTCTAAAATCAATCATAAATGTTTTTATGTAAGTTACATAATATTTGAGATGAACACTAGAAGAAAAAAATACTTAATTTAAAATGATATATTCAATCCTTTTTTATTATACGTTTCTATTAGAATTTTTAATAAATACCCATAATATTTATAATATTTTTGTTTAATTTGGATGAAAAGTTTAAAAATAATTATTAGTTATAAAATATATATTTTATTTTTTGAATAATAGATAGGTTAATATAAAAATTTAACCAATGTTTATATAATAGAAAATGGCATAAAATTAATTCGATTATTAATCAAATTTTAAATTGTAACATATTCTATTAATAATAATTAATTTATCATATTTGATGATTATAAGAAAAGTTGTATTATTAGATACAAATTCGTTGGACAAGGTAGTTAAATTTGTTTTCCCATGATTATTACTTTTTTTTTTTGACAACAATGGTTTTACTTTTTAATATATTAGTTTATTTAATATTATTATAATAAAAAATTGATTAAAATATTTTATCAAACTAAGTCAATATGTACTTTAAATTTATAAAATGATATTTTTTTTGGTACGATAAATACATGGATAAGAGATTGGAACTCCAATCTCTAAATAATGAGTATAAATAATGTGTAAGATGCTAATAAGTTCTTTATCAAATTGATACATTTATTTTATTATTTATAATTAGTGTAATTGCAAACAAAAAAAATACAAGATCAAAATTATTACAATTATAAATTAAACAATTTTTAAATAAAAAAATATATGAAATATCTCAAATTAGTTTTGTAATATATATATATAGTTATGCATTTTTTTACAATGATAAAAATAATATGTAAATATGAAATATGGGTCAAATCAATCATTACAACACAATTTATATCTTATTAAAATTTAAACTAATTTATGTATTTATAATTTAAAAAAAAACACTAATTATGAAAGAACAATAAAAAAAATAATAGTAACAAACAATTTCAATATCCTGGTTGCACACTTGTCTCCTGAAATAAAATTTCACATTTGATGATCTGTTGATAAACACTATTATTCAAATTCATCGCACATGAAATTCGTGTAAACTTCGAATCCACGATATAGATTCAATCTTCTATTTCTACAATAAGAATAGACATAAAATAACTAAGGAACTTAAAGAAAACAATAAAATAAATAAACCCCAAAATTAATGTGTAAAACTCCAAATCGAATAAAAAACTGTGATCCACAAAGGGAAATTCGCTATGTGAACAATTATTACAATTACACAGATTTATCTTCAAAGCAAATACCGCTCAGTTAAGCAGAGCTGATATATTAGACTTAAAGTCATGTGCTCCTTTTATAATGTTGGATCACGCTCCCTTCTTCTATTTTTCTGATGTAGGATAAACTTTAATTCTAATATTTTACACTCTATTTAAGACGATTCACATATTATTCTTCTTAGATTACTATTCTTGAAATGTCTTATAGCCATGTTGAATTTTATTGATAACTACAATTAATTTATGTCATTTTTATTTCACAATATTGTTAATATTTTATATTGACCTACCTAATATTTTGTTATCAATAAATCATAATTATATTTTAAAAATCAAAACTTTAAATAATTTCATTTAAATAAAGTTATTATATGAGAAATGTCAACCCTATCATGGTTCAATAGGTTAAGACATCTATATCCGACGGAAGGTCGTGACTTCGAATTCTTCACCCCGAATTCTTCACCCCACGGCTGTATTTAAAAAAATGTTTAAAAAAGTTATTGTATGATAGATTATAAATTTTATGGTAGTTTGCTAGAAATTATTATGGTCTCACATAAAAAAATTGTCATTTTGATCTAAGTATTTGTTGTAATATTTATCTCAAATATTATGTAAATTTTTAAAAGAATAATTAAGATACTATGGTTGAATTAAGATAATATGGTTGAACTATTTTTATTTGAAAAATAAAAAAAAATACTTTTATAAACATGCTATTATTATTATTAAATTGAACCTATAAGACATTGAGTTACAATGCACAACTATTTTAAGTAAAAAACGCAATAATACTATTTATAAAAAATAATATTCACAAATAAATAAAACATGATAGTACAGTAATTATAAAATAACAAAGAAATAGTAATTAAAAAAACCTATATCAATACATACATTTTAAAAATATATTTGCTTTGCTTATAGTTGATAGACAAACATCATATTTGTTTATGGTGAATTTTGATATAGTTTAAGGACTAGTAAGATCGAGTATGGTCGAGCTTAGGAGCGAGCATGATGATGAAGACTTGAACAAATGAAGTAAACACTGAACGCTCAAGTCAATAAGAGGATGATTTTAGGTCTCAAGGTGAGTTTAGATTGGGTACTTGAAATCAGAATGAATGCTTCTCTTCATAGGGAGTTGGGCGATAACAATCTCAAACCATTCAGTTGTGATATCAAGAAATCAATTGCATAAGATCAATCTGTCAAGTTTTTACCTAGGTGCGACCTTGTTTAGGGGCTTCAGTTTAACATCTTTCTCAAATCTCGATGATTGTGGGTCATGAAAGGAGCAATTGGATTCTTCATGAAGATCATTGGAATAAAGAGGTTTTGAATAAGATATTTCTTATAAGAATAACGCGAACTTGTCTCTGAATGACAGTCATTAAAAAAAGAGGGTTAATAATCGATTCATTGGATTTCAAATTGGATGGATCTAGTGCATGATTCGTATGATCGAAACATGACATTACCTTCACCTAAGTGGAGCTTGACTGAGCTTACAAGTCACCTTAAAGTCGAGTTTCAAGGTTGGCCACGCCATATCTCTTAAGTTTCAGGTAAGACCTCTGCGAACCGTTCAAGAGAGCCTTATAATAACCATTGGTGAATTATGATTTAACTTGAGGATTGGTAATATCGGGTATGACCGAGCTTAGGAGTGAGCTTGATGTGGAAAACTTGCACAAAGAAAACAAATACTCCGACTCTCAATTAAATAAGAGGACGGTCTTAGGTCTCAAGTCGAACTTAGATTGCGTAGGTGGAGTCAGAATGAATATTTTTACTTATAGGGAGTAGAAAACAATAACGAATTCTGACCGTTTAGTTGTATTGTCTGAAATCAGTTGCGTAAAGTCGGTTTATTAGATCTTTGAGGTCGGAGTATGACACTGCCTTCGATCAAGTGGAGTTTAATCGAGCTTACAGGTTACCTTAAGGTTGGCGACATCTTCCTGAATAATCTCATTTTTCAATTATTCAACCATTTCATTTTACCAAGTTCAATGTTAGTCAGATTAGTCAACATTTCTATGTTTCGATGCAACAACAAGATGTTATTTGTAACAAGTAGTTTTGTTGGTTGGTTAATTGGTCACATTTTATTCATGAAATGGGTTGGATTGATATTAGTCTGGATACAGCAAAATAATTCTATTAGATCTAATGTATTTATTAAATCTAATAAGTAACTTGTGTCAGAATTGAGAAATTCTATGGCTCGAATCTTTAGTATTCTCTAATTTATCTCTAAGGTTATGGAGAAAGCACTTACATGTCAATCTTTCCTAACTCTCCACGTGGCAAATCTATTTTTATCCTCCAATAATCTTGAACTTCATTGAAGTAAAATCGTACTCGTCAAACTTTGATAGATAATAAAAATAAATAAATAAATAAGCTCAAAGGATTGGTTAAAAAATGGTGGAAGAAAGTTTATGAGTAACTGATGAGGACAAAGTTACAGAGAATTCTAAAATTTTTTAAATTCCATAATTAACTATTATTAGTGAAAACGGTTAAATTCAAAAGAAATTAAATAACAACCATTTTTCATATTCCAATTTTAGATCTCTCATATATAAGTTAATAATTAATTAGTTAATTTACTATTTATCATTTAAGTTCCATGACATACTTTTAAATTTATATATTAAAGAAAGGGCATGATAATATAAAAATAAATTTCCAACACTTTTAAATATAATTAAAGTAATAATTTAATAACATTATATTTATAACACACATTTTTGTTTGGTTCAAAAAAAAGAAAAGAAATAACACACATTTTTGTTGAAAAGTACTTAAATTATAATTTTTATTATATAACCGTGAGGATAGCTTAACGACAATTAGCCAAAATATGATGATACTGAGATTTCTATTTCTTAAAAAAAAAAAAAAACTGAAATTTCTATTTTCTTAAAACTATAATTAAAAAGAAAAAAAAAAACAAAAAACCCTAGGATCCTTAGTTCCTCCCTTTTCTACTTCCATGGTTTCCCTCCTCCTTTAAAACCCTAGCCTCAAAGTGAAGCAGCGGTTTCCATCGAGCTCGCCCACACTGAACTTCGTAAAATGGTAGGCCGCCTTCTTCCTCCCTCAAATGCCGATCTGTGATTCGATAGCTTATATTCATGGTTTTTTGCTGAATCCGTTTTCATTCTAGGTCAAATCTCATGCTGATTTCATTTATTTGCATTTTACTTGCACTTTGTTTATTGACACGATCCTTTATGTACTCTTGAAAGGCACCGAAGAAGGCTGTTGGAAAGGCTTCGGCCAAGAAGAAGCCGGTAATCGATTTTGGATTTCTATAGTATTATTCTTGTTCCAGTTCTCGGGTTTTTTTTGGTTTATCACAATGTTGAGTTGTTTGCAGGAGAAGGTGGTGAACCCGCTATTCGAGAAGCGTCCGAAGCAGTTTGGAATCGGTGGGGCATTGCCGCCCAAGAGGGATCTCACACGCTTCGTTAAATGGCCGAAGGCTGTTCAAATTCAGAGGAAGAAGAGGATTCTCAAGCAGAGGCTGAAGGTTCCGCCGGCTTTGAATCAGTTCACCAAGACGCTAGACAAGAATCTTGGTAATATACTTGAGTAGCTTTGGTGAACAACGCAGATGTCTATTATATGACCAGTCAAGAAATTTTTATATCAATTGTTAGGTTTTAGATTGTTCTTATTGTATAGTTTTGTTAATTACGAGTTTTAGCCCTCTTGGGTTTATGACGTTTCCAGTGCTGTTCTTTCAAACATTTTCTCACTTTTTCTTCTTCCAGTTTCAAATTGAAACTCCTCTTGTAGTTAGGTATAAATTTTGCTAGTTTGTAGGAGCGAGTGTTTGTTTGATTGCTCTTAAGTTTATAGAGGTCTGTAAAATGTTTTGCTAGGGTAAAAACAGAAATAAATAGTTCCGTACCTTATTGTTTGAAGGTTTTGTTTGGCTACTTCGAGATATTATTTCTGATTGGCAATGACAATACAAGTTTGCTTGGAAGTTGACTGACAATGCAAGATTATTTTGGAAGTTGGTAGTGAACTTCAGTCTCTTGGAGTCTAGATTCTTGATCAAACCTTCTTTCTTGTTTGGTTTCTTGGATTATGCTTATACATTTTTACAATTTGGGTAATTTAGGAGTTCTCATGATTGAATTGCTATAATTTGCTGTTTCTCTTTAGATAAACCTCAATTTTAGTGCCCAGTAAATGAAGTGTAAATATGTCCCTTTATCTTCTCGATGGTGTCCTGCTTTTGGTCATTTGGAACAATGTGATAGTGCCTGACCTGATTCCAGAATGCTTCTGGTCATCATCTATGGTTTTGGCTTGATTTTAAGTGTAATTTTGCCTCTCTTTTGCTTTTGGCTTTTTTTGTTTCTTGAACTTTGTTCTAAAGTGTCTTGGTTTTTAAGTTAATGTCTGTCATGTATATGCAGCGACAAACTTGTTCAAGATGCTTTTGAAGTATCGGCCAGAGGACAAAGCTCAGAAAAAAGAGCGTCTTTTAAAGAGAGCTCAGGAAGAGGCTGAAGGCAAAGCACATGATGCCAAGAAGCCTATTGTTGTTAAATACGGTCTCAACCATGTTACCTACCTCATTGAGCAGGTGTTCTCAAATTCCATACATTTGAAAATTCTCTCTTTTCAACTGCACTGCATTTTGCAATTCAGATACATTCTCTATATGTATATCAGCCATATAAGATGTACTTCCTTTTCAGAATAAGGCTCAACTGGTTGTGATTGCACATGACGTGGACCCGATTGAGTTGGTTGTTTGGCTCCCAGCTCTGTGCAGGAAGATGGAAATTCCGTACTGCATTGTGAAGGGGAAAGCACGATTGGGAGCGGTAACTATGCATCTTTTTTTTGCACGATATTTTTCAATCCCTTGAAGCCATGTACCGACCAATGTTTGTAATTTTGCCGTCTTAATAACAGATTGTTCATAAAAAGACTGCATCAGTTTTGTGCTTGACGACTGTAAAGAATGAAGATAAGCTCGAGTTTAGCAGGATCCTTGAAGCTATTAAGGTTGTTTACATATAAGGCTCAGATGATTCCGCTGTACTATTTAGTACGAATTAGGCTCATTTTGATACCTTCTTTGTTGTTTTGTTTTTATCTTAGGCTAATTTCAACGACAAGTACGACGAGTACAGGAAGAAGTGGGGTGGTGGAATCATGGGTTCCAAGTCCCAGGCTAAAACTAAGGCAAAGGAGAAGCTGCTCGCCAAAGAAGCTGCTCAAAGGATGTCTTAGTTTTCAGAGTTGTCAATTTTTTTTATGAAGGAAAAAACCATGGAGACTTACCACCAATTATTTTTGGTTGTTAGTTACTTCAACAGCAGAATTTCGAAGTTTTGTTTACTTATGATTGCTTATTTAAGGAGAGAAATTGTTGGAGTATTTTGGTAAATCTCTAGTTTTAGCCTCATTTTAATACCCCTTCTTTGTTGTTTTATTTTTAAGAATCATGTCAACTTCAGCTCAATTCCATTGGTATGTTTTTCACCATTTTTATAAACATATTTTGAATTCTTAGTCAAATTTCAAAAGCAAATTTTTATAAACTATGTTTTATAGTTTTTACAATTTGGCTTAGATTTTGAAAATGTCTTAAAAAAAYATAATGACACAGAGAGGATGGACTTTAGTATTTAAATCTTCTAGCTTGAATTTGTTATCAACATTAAGAAGTTGCACAATCTTCAACAGTGATGTTTATGGACTGACGATGTTGTAAATTTAAGCCAACAGACCTGCTTCATTATGAATGGTATCATACCGCAAAAGTGACTTGTTGCATGGTGTGTTAGAAGTGAATAAAGACTTATTGTGGAAGGTTTTATCTTATTCTATCTCTTACTCTCTATTTTTTGTTGTTTATTTAATTTTAATTCGTACATTTGTTTATTTCTTTGCATAAATTTTTACTTCTGCATTAGTTTCATGCTTTTTTTTTCTATTTAAAGTTATTTATTTTACTATTATGTTTTATGTAAAATTTTCCATGCAATCTCCATTTAAATTTTTTTTTTTTTGCATTTTTCGAACGTATTAGAATTGATTGTATTTTGAAAACAAATCAAATAATGAATAGGAAAATACTTAGATGTTTGTCGATAAGAACTTATCTTATATTCAAGAAGAGAAGTGAGAAGTGATATGAGTTTCAGTTGTCTGATAAATATTTTTAGAATGAATATTTAAATGGGACAAACTCAGTAATTCTACCATAATATAATATCACAGTTACTAACATATTTTAAATTCATTAATTAATGTAATTGTTATAATAATGTATTTATAAAAAATGTATTTCAAAAAATTATCATTAAAATTATTTGACGGCACGTGCCAGCCAAGGCAGGCGAGGAAAAAAAAATATATATGAATTTCAAAGAAGGAAGGTGAGAATTGAAGTCCTATTTTAATCCCGATTCCTCTTCATTCCAAAGCTAAACCCTAGGCCGCGCTTCATAACTGTTCTTTCTTTCGTTATTTCCCTCTGCTGCCATTTTTCATTCTAAACCTAAACCTAGCCGCCGCCCTTCGCTTGATCTTCGTAACCATTGTCGAACCGTACCGAACGGAGTCGGAGCTCAGTTCGGATCGGTTTCGGCGCCACAGTTTTTGCATTCTCAACCTTTTCTTGCGTCTCTATGGATAAGAAGAAGATGAAGAACAAAACTCTTGTGGAAGAAGCCCCAGTTTCCGAGACTGCCTTTGACCAAAACAGCGACGAGTTGGTTCATTCGGACAAGAAGAAGAAGAAGAAGAGTAAGGGTGATAAGGAGAGCAAGAAGCGAAAAGCCGTGGAGGTGGCTGAAGACGAGGATAGGAGCGACACGAGCTCGGAGTTGGGCGAGCCGGTGAATTCGCGGTTGAAAAGCAGCAGCAAGGACAAGAAGAGCGGCAAGAAGGTGAAGTTGATCGAGTCTGACGAAGATGCTGAGGATGAGAAGGCTGAGGACCATAATGCTGTTTCTAGGTTTCGGATATCGGAACCGCTGAGGGAGAGGCTGAAGGAGAAGGGTATCCTCTCTTTGTTTCCGATTCAGGCCATGACGTTTGACACCGTATTTGACGGTTCTGATTTGGTTGGACGAGCCAGAACAGGACAGGTATTATTCTTTTGGTTGATTAATCGATAATTGTTCTTTCGAGACTGTTAAATGTGAATCATAGAGAGGGTATTATTTGGATTCAGACTAGCCGCTGAAACAAAAATATAAATTATAAATGGACGGGATTTTTTTCTATAGGGAACTTGATTTGTTTCTCATGGGAAAACTCTTCCTGTGTTTTCTGTTGTAATTTTTTTTCCACCTGAAGGGCAACTTTTTTGGCTCTAGCATGTTTGCACTTGTTAATATTGGGAGTTTCGAGTCATGCAACATTCAGTATTCTTTTTATTTTTATTTAAAAAAAGTTTATGTGAGCTTTTTACAACAAAGACATTTTTCTTTTAGCTTAAATGTAATTTGAACGGTACATTGTTTGATAGACCTTGTCTTGTCTAAATTTATGTTATGTAAATTTATCTTCATGTCATTTGTGCAGGGTAAAACACTGGCTTTTGTCTTGCCCATCTTGGAGTCTTTAATAAACGGGCCTTCTAAATCGTTGACTGGATATGGAAGGTCTCCTAGTGTTCTAGTACTTTTACCCACTAGGGAATTGGCTGACCAGGTGCAGTTTGAAGATATTTTTACTTACATCTGTTTTGATCTGGTTATAGTATTTTGACAAGTTGTGTCTTGATTAGGTGTTCGAGGACTTCAAATTTTATGGTAATGCATTAGGATTGGAATCTTGCTGTTTATGTGGAGGAATGCTTTATGGGCCCCAAGAAACTAAATTAAGAAGGGGGGTTGACATAGTTGTTGGAACACCTGGTCGTGTAAAGGTGGACATTTACAATAAAATTTGGAAGGATTTGTTGATTTTGTTTAATGATGGGATGGCAAAACTTGTGTGTTTGTTTGGATGACTTAACTTATACCTTTACAAATTTTGTGTAGGATCACATTAACAGAAACAATATTGATTTGCGGTCGTTAAAGTTTCGGGTCCTTGATGAAGCTGATGAAATGTTGAGGATGGGTTTTGTTGATGATGTTGAATTTATTCTCGGTATACGATTTGGAATCTTAATTATTTGTTGCTCCACTGGGAGAGTGAAATATATTTGCCTTCATTTCTTGATAATTTTATCTTTTCATTTATTTTTACTGACATTGGAAAACATTTTTTTGGGAATTTTGTAGGCAAGGTGGAGGATGTAAACAAAGTTCAAACACTTCTGTTCAGTGCCACTTTACCAGACTGGGTGAAAGATGTCAGTATTCCAAAATAATATACAGTTTCCAAGCTTTTTAATTTTGAACATGCTGTATGAGATGGCTGAAAAATTGACTGCAAGATGTATTTTCCTTCTGTAACTTCCATTGATAAAGTGTTTTGCATTATTAGATTGCTTCCAGGTTCCTTAAAGCAAATAAGAAAACTGCAGATCTTGTTGGTAATGAGAAAATGAAGGCAAGTAAGGATGTTAGGCATATTGTTATTCCTTGTTCTGATTCAGAAAGGTCTCGACTTATTCCTGATATCATACGATGCTATAGCAGGTTAGTTGTTTGAATGGAAAGAATTTAGTTATTATTATTATTATTTATCAGTGATTAAAATATTGAATTGTTCTCTTCATTATTGCTGCATGATTGTATTTACTCAGCGGAGGTCGAACTATTATATTTACGGAGACAAAGGAATCTGCATCAGAGCTTGCTGGTCTTCTTCCAGGAGCACGAGCCTTACATGGAGATATACAGCAGTCTCAGCGGACGGTAATTTTATAATTGAACTTTTATGAGTTTTTTTAAGGATTCATTATGTTGCCATTTTTCCAGTAGCCTTGTCTGGTACTAAAATGATGTTTTAGTTTTATAAAGGAACCATTCATTAGGTAGGATGATAATAGGAAATTCACCATAGGACCTAGTTCAAGCTTATTTACCTCATCAATTTGTAACAATTAAAAGCTCATTTTATTTCCTTCATACGATATTCTTCATTGTAGAATATTTAGATTAATGGAGCCTTTCATTTTTATCTTTGTTTTCTTAATAGATATAGTTAGCCGTTTAGTGGTCTGGTCTTTATACTGTCGCTACTTGTTATAGGTTACACTTTCTGGGTTCAGATCAGGCAAGTTTCTGGTATTAGTGGCCACCAATGTGGCAGCACGTGGATTGGATATCAATGATGTTCAGTTAATTATTCAGGTTTGTGCTTGGCCTGATTTGTAATGTGACAATTTAGTTTTTTGAAATGTGCTTTCTTTTAATATTATATTATATTTTATTATTAATCTGCCAGTGTGAGGCGCCAAAGGACATAGAAGCTTATATTCATCGGTCTGGAAGAACAGGAAGAGCTGGTATTTCTGTGTTTGGCGTTTCTTCCCTCAATATACCTGTTTGTAAATTTGGATTTTCTAACAACACCACCATTGTTTTTAGGCAATACTGGAGTTGCTGTGACATTGTATGATCCAAGGAAGTCGGGAAGAATTTCCAGAATAGAAAGAGAATCTGGTGTTAAGTTTGAGCACTTGTCTGCTCCTCAACCAATTGATATAGCTCGATCTGCTGGAGCAAGTGCCGCAGAATCAGTAACTCAAGTCTCTGACAGGTATATTCATTTCAAGTTCTACTTTGATGGATATTTTTCTTCTTTCCATGCTTGGATCTGATCATTTTTCATATTGGAAAAGTGTAATTCCACCGTTCAAATCTGCCGCTGATGAAATGGTGAATAGCTCTAGTTTAACTGCTGTGGAGCTACTTGCCAAGGCCCTTGCCAAGCTCTCTGTGAGTTATCTTTTCTCTCTAAACAATGTAATCTTAAGCTTTTAAACGTTGAATTTTACCTTTTCACCTATGTTTACCTTATTGAGTTTTTGCTGATTGTATTTCTGCAGGGTTATACGGAGATAAAGAGTAGATCACTTCTGACGTCAATGGAAAATCATGTCACTTTAATTCTCGAGGCTGGAAAGCCTATCTATTCCCCATCGTGAGAAATCTTAATTTTAGCTTATTGTTAACTTCTTTGATGCTGTTGCCCTCATCTATGTGTCCTATACTTGTGAATTTGGAAGTTGTGTTTATGATTTAATGATGTCACTGCAATGCCTTTCTTTGTAATTAGCTGTTTTTATTCCGATGAATTAGTACTCTTATCGTTAATGTGATCTCAGTGAATTAATTAATGTGTTGATATATGTTAAGCAGTCGAATCGTTTGATTGTAGCTGTGTTTATTTTATGTCTTGCATATTGAATATAACTTTGAACTTTTCCTCCCTCATCTCCCTCTCTCTCCCACTGTAACTAGGTGACATCCCATTAAACTAATGAACTTTGCTTTTGAAAATGTACAGATTTGCCTACAGTGTCTTGAGGAGATTCTTGCCAGAGGAGAAGGTAGAATCAGTCAAGGGTATGGCATTGACCGCTGATGGATACAGTGCTGTATTTGATGTTCGAACAGAAGATTTGGATGCATTTCTTGCTGGTAATTATTTGAGTCATTTTGATTACTCTTTTTTTTAAAGGAAAGTTGTCATTTTCATCCTTAAAATTATAAGTCCCCTCCCTTTTATTTCATCCTTAAAACTCTTACGTCCCCTCCTTTCCCTTTCATTTCATTTTATTTTCTGTTCTATGATCATTATCGTTTTTAGAATAGAGTTGTGGATGATATTGTACAAATCAAACCCATATGACAGGCACATCATTAAAAGCTGTTGTGATATATGATTTAAAGATTTTTCTTGGTTGCACGGAGGGTTTTTAGTCAGTTTCTGAAGTTATTCTTTCCCTATTCCTTTTGGTTGACAGGTAAGGAAAATGCAGCGAATGTGAATTTAGAGGTGTTGAAAACGCTGCCAAAATTGCAAGATAGGGAGCAATCAAGAGGGGGTGGAAGATTTGGAGGTGGTGGTCGCGGTGGATTCGGTGATCGCAGAAATGGTGGTGGTAGGTTTTCAGGAGGAAGAGGAGGTGGCCGGGGAGGATTTTCTGATAGAAGAAACAGGTTTTCGGGTAATTCGGGTGGAAAAGGTCGAAGCTTTGGTGGCGGAAGCAGTTGGTAAGGGGTGTTTGTGTTCCTAATAAAACCACAATCTGAGTTGGGAGAATTGGAAACTTTGTAGAGAAGATGAGTTCCTTTTGAAGACGCGAGTATAGTACAGAGCTGTTGCACGAGGCCAATCCTGGCGATTATAGGTGGTAATTAGTTCTTTATTTGATATTTCCTTTTTAATTCTAATTATTTTTCTGAAATGTTTGGGGATTTTTCCGTTTGTACCCCCCCATTTGATAATATGCGATTCTGTTGCTTCGTGAGATGCATTATTTTAAACTTTACAAAGAGGAATCTGTATTATTTTATTAATTAATTTGAGCTCCATAAAAAAAAAACCAAACTTACACCATAGTACTTGATATGTTGTTATATATCTTGGTCTAGTATGCTAAATTTGTACATCTTGTTTTGACTGTCTTCCAGGTATTTTAAATATTTGTCAACATGTTTGCATATTTTCATTGATAAATTATGTATCCATAGGTTTGACATAAATATGAGTGATAAATTGACATTTTCATATTATAGCAAATTGAATAGACAATTTTAAAAACATCAATAAAATATCCATGTCATTAATATGGATATGACATTTATATTAATCATTAAATTTATTTTGGAAGTGTGAAATATTTATTTGTTAATTTAAATATTTGTATTTTTATAGCCTTTTCAACTTGACAATTTCATGAATTTGAGACTTTTAACATTTAAAAATTTGGTTGGTTCTTCTGCATTCTGTCTTGAGAAATTGGATCATAATTTAAAACCTCTCGGAAATGTACTTTAGATTAAATGTTTGATTGGATCTTAAATTTAATGAATAAATATAAGTATATGAACGTATTTTATAAAATAATATTTGTATGGTTTTTGTTATTCAATATTATATCTTTCATAATTATATAATTATTACTTGATAAATTTCTTACATTTAAGGATAATAAGTTTGTCTTTTCTTTGTTGTTCTCTAAGTATGTTCCTATACTTCACATCAATCCCACTCTTCCATGAATTTTCTTTTATGAACATATTTCTCTTATGAAATTCTCTTGTGACCCCACTTTACCTTGATTTTTGTTTGACTTTTCATGGTTAGGAAAAAAAACTCCCAAGACTTAACCGATTTGCTTGTGAGAATCATGCCAGAACACTCTAATATAGCATAAAAAGTGAAAAGTCATCGTACAAAATTAAAAATCAAGTATCAAAAGAGGCCATGGAAACAAATTTAATAAGAAAAATGGTTAAAAAATGATAAGATGGAAACGAATAGATACGTATGACATGATGAAAAAAAGTTATCGAGTGAAAATGTGTGAATAAAGACAGGAATGATTAAAAAAAAAGCTAGATTCAATGGTTTTGGACTGTTTAGCTCCTAGATCTTGTGATCAGACATCGTGGATTGGTTTGAATTTGTTGGACTGTTTACTAAAAAACACGAATATAGACACGAGACAAATGATACAACAAGATTAGGACACAGTGACACATCATTTTCTAAAAATCTAGGTCACATACGACGCAACAAGAGGATGTGTTTACTAAAAAGTACAATTTATTAAAAGTATATATATCCTTTTTTACAAGAAGGAAATTCAAAGTCTATATTATGCACATTTTTATGCTTAAAAATGAGTTTGGATGTTGCTTTGCTCCCAAAATTTATTATATTGTCCTGTATTACTATTTCATGTCTATTAATTTCTTATATTTAACATTTGTCCAATACATGCCTAACAAGCGTCAGATCCATATTCACTTTGTACAACTTGTATGTGACACACATCTATCGATCAAACAAGTTTTTCATACGTGTCAAATAAATATCTGAGTGTCTGGCACGTCGAACAAGTTACCCAAAACTAAAGTGTCTGGCACTTCTTAGGCTTTTTGTTTATTTTTCTAGAATATATTGTTCCACAAATGTCCATGGCTATTTCTTCCTTTAATCTTTCTGCATGGAAGGGCATGTTCATCAAAATTAAGAGGAATTTTCCAAGTAGATTTGGCTCTACAATTACAATTATATTAAGAGGAATTTTCCAAGTAGATTTGGCTCTACAATTATATTAGGGATACTATGAAACTATCTTGTAGCAGATCTCTATTAGTTCTCACATGCTCAATAGTTTCCAACCTCCAAATTTTATATGATACAAGCTGACGTTTGTGGTTAAGGTAATTCAGCAGTGACACAGGTTACTTGTTTCTACCTCTCTGAGTTGTTTAAGAATTATTGTTGATAGGTTGTTGGGAGCTCTTGTCTGACTTTTGGGACATCAAATTTGTTCGGAAATCATTAGAAAAGATAAAAATAATTGTAAAAAAAGAAAGTTTCCCACAGATGATCATGTGTAGTGGAGGTCAAAGTTCATACTCAATCATTCGACAACCTGTAAAACGAAAAAGGAATACTTGAGAAGTATCCCAAGTATCTACACGTATAATAGTATAATATTGTCCGTTTTGGGCATATTCACAGCTTTGCTTTTGATTTCACCCAAAAGATCTTAAACCAACGACGATAATTGTCCTACTATGTATCACTCTCTTCCTTAACCAATATGGAACTTTGTTTACACACTTTATAGACTTTAGTCTGGTAGGTTAATGGCCTGTGTGAGGGGAAATTTTTTTTAGCAGAGCTTCTATATTATAACGGTTTGGAGAATGTGTATCTCAAATAATTATTGAGGCTTTCATTGATTTGTGAAGTATTTGAATAACACAATTAATTTCTTTGTATGAATAGGAGTCTTTATCAAATTAGGAGATTATTTAATGAAAAAAATCATGATAGAGATGGAACTAATTATAGGGGAAGAGTTTTAGATAAAATTGAGACTCAGAGTCACAAGTTCGAGAGGATCTATTGCTCTAGTTATATATGGTTGGGGTTGTAAGGTGTGCAAATAAAGTTTTACATTGATTAAGAAAGAGAGTGATCCATGATATATAGATGAAAACAATTATCAGCATTGGTATGAGATCTTTTGGATGAAACCAAAAGCAAAGACGTGGGGTAATGCCTAAAGCGAACAATATCATACCATTACGAGTATACTTGTATACAAGGGTTACCATTGTCCTTAATAGTTATATGTAAATACTCGTAAGCCATACCAAGGATCATGGCAGAGAGAAAACCATATTGTATGTGCTAAGCTCAAAGTGACTATGATGATTGAAACATTTTATTATTTCACATCACATCCAAAGTTATGAAAGAATTTCAAAATATAATTTTGGTATTTGGGAATATGCTAAGACCAAAAGAGTGATGTTGGGTTGCTTGAGAATTAAGCCAAATACATATGACTGAAGTTTCCATAATTGAATGGTTAAAAAATGAAGTTGCAGATCCATTAATGATTACAATATCAAGTAATAATGTACTAGTACAAATTGAGAGATTTTGTTGTTTTTGACAAAAACATGTTTTCTTTGTCCAATCCTATGGATTCTATATTATTTCATCCAACCATATATGTTGAGTACTCTGCCATATCATTTCTGATTCTTTGCCCTCAAAGGACAGCTTTTTGAATCAATCCAAGATTTGAAAACAACTCACTAACTTTGGAGTCTTAATTAAATCAAAGGATGCTTTGAAGATAACAAATATGAAGATTATATTCCTTATTTTTAGCCTTAAATTCAAGATTTTCTATTGTCTTGTCTTTTCTATTTTCTTTTCTTGTTTCCCCATTCCAAAATGAGGGTTGGCTTTCTTCTTTGCAAGTTCTTTTCAGTCCTTTGGACATTTCTCTTTTTGTTTTCTTAGATCCTTCGTTCCTTAATTCTACCCAAATGGAAAAGCTAGCTTAATTTAAATTATTTAACTTAATTTGTGTAGCTATTCTTATTCTTATGGGTGAGGGGAAATTGAAAGCTTCCTAGCTAAACTACTCTTAAAAGTAGACTTACGATGGCGGACTAGACCCATGGAGACGCATTTTTTACCTTGTCCGACATTGTTTCTCCTATATTTTTTTTGTCCGATATTATTTCCTTCATGTTTTTTTTGTCCGACATTAAAATCCAGATTTGTAGTTGTGTCATGCAATTTATATATCTATCCTACATCATGTATTAGTACAATTATGGAGACATCTCTCTCATTTTCCAATTGTATAATATAGTTGAATATAATAATGCATAAATTCATTTTTATTTTACCTAAAAGACTTTGGACTAGAAAAGATGTTCTTTACTTGTATATATATACTAGGAATCTTCTCCGAAACAATCTCTCGTAACTAGAATAAAACGCAAAATAAAATAAATTTATAAGAGGTTTTTGAAAAATGGAGATTTTTTTATATAGTAAATGAGATTACATGTTTCCATATACATTCGAAAAATATTACCAATTACAATTTTTGAATGATATGTTAGGAATAAATATTGATAACTTTATTCTTGTAGAACTTACGGAAGCTAAAATCAATAGAATAAAAGAATTGGGTAAAAGTAGCTAATCTACAACAATGAATTTAGGAAGCTCAAGCAGCATAGTATATTTGGGGTTTCCATACTTCTATAGAATTCATAGGTCGGTATCTGTTTTGTGTCATGATCCTACCCCAATCGTAACTAGCCCTAAAGATGACTAGTTATGACGATACGCCCATCTTGGACTTAGTTTCAAGCGAGTGTTCACAACTACGTGGATGTTAAGGAAAACGATACGTCAAAGTATCTCAACAGTGGTATGACATCATTAACTTTGGGCATAATAACCCTCATGACTTTGTTTTTGGTTTCACCCAAAAACCCCATACGAACAGAGATAATTATCCTAATCTTATACCATAGATCACCCCACTCTCTAGCCAACGTGAAGCAATCTTTATACTTCTAACACTTGGTCCTGACCACTCAATTGTCTTGCTTTTACACCCAGCTGTCGTATTGGGATGAGTTCTAACCTTTAAGCGGGTAAGCACTAGCTTATAAGGCTTATCGGGTACTATCAATTGATTTATGCCTCTTAATTATGTTATAGCTAGCTCATATTGAACTTATCAGATGCTTTCTTCCAAACACTATTTGATACATATGACGACTCTTATGCCCATGACAACTCCTTTTGCAGATACCACATGTTGAAGTTTGGGGCTATATCGAAACCTTCATCCCAAGGTGTAATGTAAGCACACTTGTATCACACGACATTGTTCTTGAGTTCCCATTCTCAAAGGAAGTCTCTTAAGACACTAGTCTTGCAATACTCGTTCACACCATGTCACACGCATGTGTCATGGGATGACTTGCTTAGGCCTCTAACATGGCCCAAGGGTGCTCCAACACCATGCCTTTCCCTAAAGTACTTGCTAAGACATTATAACTATGTCACCCATGAACATCATAAGTCGGTAAAAGGAGTGTCGACATGAAATTGGCGTGTTTGCATACCCACTATAGCTAGCTAATATGCTTCTTTCCCAAAGTTGCTCGTCCAAAATTTGACTTGAAGCCCTGGTCACTAACATCATTGATGTGACCAACGCTTCTAATCTTACTTGCGCTTTTGCTAAGCTTTCTTATGCATATATTCTTGGTGGGTTAGGTGATGGGGATGCTCCTTGGTCACTTTGCCTCCGATTACTCTCTTGGTGGGGGTCTCAACAATCCACTCTACTTTAATAGGGTTGAGATAGTCTGCATGTATATAATATATATAGTTTGCAACTCTAGTTGTTACCCATTTAAAAGTTTAATTTGATTAAATCCAACGTGATAATCATCAAGATCTTCATGAAATGATGGGTTTATACAATGAGAAAAAAAGGTGGAAAAAAACATTGATCTGGTACAAAACAATTATTATTCACCTAGGATGCACTGTATTTTTTACAAACTTTGTTGTGGAAGCCAAAATTTCCTATTGTGTTGTTATATACATTGGGTGAAATAATAGATGACAGAACCTGAAAGGATTGACAGATATAGTACATGTTTGGTAGCCTATATTAGCCAAGCCAGCCCTGTATTAGTATCTTTTGTTTTTATTAAAAAAAAGAAAGAGAAATGTTTGATATTATATGGACAATGTAATGTGCTTTAATAAATTAAGAGGGGATTATTGTATAAAGGGGTTTGTACTGAGGTTGGTACATGATTGTAAATGAATATATTTGGATGAGGGGAACCGACAATGTACACTATAGATAGTACATTGTTTTCATTATCGTTTTTTCTCTGTTTCATGGCATCAAAAGCTTCTGCAGATTTTCTACCCCGGGGAAGATCTTATTGATTTCAAACATATATATTTGTTTGTCTCTTTCTTTTTTACCTTTTGAAACGAGAGAGATATTGCAATCATAAGTCATCAAACTCATTTTTCTATTCATCCCAAACTCGAGAGAAAGGGAGAGAGTGGGGGAAACAGAGAGAGATAAAAAGATCAGTTGCAAATCGTTAGTCTTCAAACCATTTCTATCCGGTGGGGTCTGTTGTGTTTGTGAGGATCGGCTAGGCAAAGGATAAGAGGAAGGACAATTATTTCCATTGGTATAAGATATTTTGGGTAAAATCGAAAGCAAAGTCTATACCCAAAACGGACAATATCATGCCACTGTGGAGATACTCTGGATACTAGGGGTACCGTTGTCTTTAACGCGATCCAAACTCGAGAGAGAAAGAGAGGGTGGAAGGGAATGAGGGAGAGAGACCATCCGTGGGTTGTGGCATATATAATGAGCTTGTGGCTGAATGAGCATATCCACCTCTTTGGTTCGAGCTCTAAAGGATGCGTAGTCTTCGGGATTCCCCATTTAGAGACGAATCCTGCCACGTTGACTACAATATAGTAAGTGGCTGTTGATCTAGTGAATCTTTGTATAATTAACCACGCAACGTTAATTTTGGATCATAAAAAAATGGGAGAGAGAAAAAGATGCCATCATAAATATCAAACCCAATACTATAGAAAAATATTGGGCTCTCCCATCAAAATTAGTATTGAGTTGTCAATTTTTCTAAGAACGACCCACAAAATTTAACCTCTATTCCTGCCTATCCCAAGCTTGAGAGAGAGGGAGAAGGAAGTGAGGGAGAAGAAAGTGGGACAAACCCATTTGTATTTGTACCAAACGCGAGGGGGAGAGAGATTATTGCAACTACTATGGAGGGTGTTTGAACACAAGTTTTTAGGCTGGGCTTCCATGCCACTTTTTTGGTCTTAATATTCTATATTTAGAAAATAAGTTGCTTTATAATAACCTAATTTTGTCTTTCGTTTTCATTTGTCTTTCTATTTCTGGATAACGTTTAAGAATATCTTTGAATTATTAGCCAAATTTTTCTGCAAACATAAAAATAATTAGGTGTATGCTTGGTTGGTGATCATGGAGCATAAACGTAAAAATAATAGACTTTATTACGAAGATATCTAAAAATTAAATTTCAATTATTTAAAAATTCGTTCAAAATGTTTGATATATAATATATATAGTTTTACCGATTAATATTTAGTTTAATCTAAAATATTATTAATTAATTTATTAACATATGTATTATAAGTTTTGTAAACTAATTATTTGACAATATTATATAATTTATAATATACTATATTTTATAAGGTTTAATTTTAAAAAAATGAAATGAGTTTATTATTTATCAAAATTTTTATTTTTTGATTATAAATACGGATTTTACCTATTTAAAATTCAAAACCTGGAATCAATCAGGATTAAACATTTGTTTTTAGAATTTCTACTATCTCAATCACATAATCTAAGAATAGTTTTAAAAAACAAATATGTCAAACAAATTTGCTCATGGAATCCATTCAATTAAGTGATTTTGAATAAAAAAAAAACAGATTTCAAATTGCTAAACCAAACCAACCCTAAATTTTTTTTATTTTTTATTATTTATTTTTTAATTTTGTTTGTGAGTTCGTTCATAAAGAGGGAGAGAGTTAGAAATCTACCCCTTAAATAAATATGAATATCTTAGTATAACTTTAGTAATATAGGGGTCGAAGTGGATCAAGAATGGGCCTTGACCTAGCTATCACATATACAAAATTGCGTAGGAAATTAAAGAAAACATCAAAAATAATTTATTTATTCAAAAAAAAAAATATATATATATAATATGACGTAATAAATTAGAAAAAGTAAAAAAAAAAAAGGTAAAAAAAAGATTTGAATTGATGTGGGGTAGGGGTACGTTAGAATTCTCCTCATCAGCATCAGCATGAAATGCCAAATTTCCATTGGGAATCGATCGCTTTCCTGTCAATATTATAAAGAAGACAAACAGTCGATTGTAATGGAGGAGGAGGGCCATTGTGCAAATATTAAAAGTTAAAGAAGACCCATTTCTGCAAGAGCTACCTATAAAGATTCCAATATTTGGTCACCAATTCAGAATAACCTCAACTTCTTCTTTCTTTAATTTTTCTCTCTAGAGCATTTTTTTTAAGTTAATTAAATTAAAGAATCATGCAGTTGCAGGTGGGCCAAAACGACGACGTCGATCCAGTGGAGTTCGACGCGTCGGTCCTCCGTCACCAGCACAGCATTCCTAGGCAGTTCATCTGGCCGGACGAGGAGAAGCCGGGGGCCCACTGCCCGGAGCTGGAAGTCCCACTGATCGACATGTCGGGATTCCTATCCGGCGAGAGCGGGGAGGAGGCGGTCCGACTCGTCGGCGAGGCGTGTAGAAAGCACGGGTTCTTCGTGGTGGTGAACCACGGGGTGGATCCGAAGTTGATAGCGGAGGCCCACGAGTGCATGAACCAATTCTTCGAGATGCCGCTGCCGCAGAAGCAGATGGCTCAGAGGAAGCCCGGCGAGAGCTGTGGCTACGCCAGCAGCTTCACCGTCCGTTTCTCCTCCAAACTCCCTTGGAAGGAAACTCTTTCCTTCCGCTTCTCCGCCGACAACTCGTCCCACCTCGTTTATCGTTACCTTTCCGCCAAACTCGGCCACCAATTCTCTCACTTTGGGTACGCCCACTGTAAAACCCCACACCAATTTAGTCTCCTACGATTTAACAAACTTTAGTCAAATGCTCATTTGAGTTATTGGATTCTAAAATCATCTCGAAACCACCAATTGACAAAGATATCAGCGCTTTTTGTTTGGGATACTAAATTTATCCAACCCAATCCATCGACTTAGACGTTTAGATTGAATGGTTGTTTATTCACGTACGTTGGTTTAGTCTGTGAAATTGAATATGTTGGTGTTGTTTTGGATGTTACGTGTACAGGAGGGTTTACGAGGAGTACTGCGAGGCAATGAGTGGGCTGTCGCTGGGGATAATGGAGCTGCTGGGGAAGAGCCTTGGAGTGGGAGGAGAGTACTTCAAGAACTTCTTCAGAGACAATGATTCGATAATGAGGCTCAACTTCTACCCGCCGTGCCAGAAGCCGCATCTCACATTGGGCACTGGCCCTCACTGCGACCCAACTTCTCTGACCATTCTTCACCAAGACCAAGTCGGTGGACTCCAAGTTTTTGTCGACAATCAATGGAGACTCATCGCCCCAAACTTTGATGCTTTTGTTGTCAATATCGGTGACACTTTCATGGTAATCAACAACCAAACAAACAAAACACCATATATACATTAACAATGACTATAATAAATTACTTAATTAATTACCATCCTTATAAATTTGACATTTATTACTTTTGATTTTTAAACTAAACCCAGTAAGAAAATTTTGTCTTTTTTTTCGAGTAATAGATGTCTTATCGGCCAGTTGAATTGAATTAATTTTGGATTGTGAAAGGCACTGTCAAATGGGAGATACAAGAGTTGCCTGCACCGAGCGGTGGTGAACAGCGAGACAACAAGGAAATCTCTGGCATTCTTTTTGTGTCCAAGAAATGATAAAGTGGTAAGCCCACCCATGGAGTTGGTGGACACTCAGAACCCACGAATATATCCAGATTTCACTTGGTCCACTCTCCTCCACTTCACTCAGACCCATTACAGAGCCGACATGAAAACCCTCCAAGTTTTCTCTGCCTGGCTCCAACAACATTACAACGACAACATTAATAATAATAATCATCAGCTTATTTCTTAATTAATTAATAAACCCACTTCTCCTCCTTCTTCTTCTTCTTGTACTGGCTCTTCTTGTTCCTAAAAGTTACGTTGTTGTTGTGGTGAGGAAAATGGAGATGGGGGGCAGAGATTTAATTTGGGGGTTTTCTTTCGAGGGGAAGACAAGGGAAAAGTTGGGAGAAAAGCCAGCTGCTTTTCTTTTGTTTTTTTGTTATTATTTTTATTATTATATTATTGTATATTTTTTTAATTTATGTTTCTGGATCTTAGCTTCTACTGAAATCAACCCTCGGTTAAATTAAATATATACTTCTGTCTCCAATGTCTTGGAGATTTAAAAAAGTGAAAAAAAATATAAATAAATGGTCTCTATTTTTCTTTTAAATGTTTCCCTTTCTCCCACAATTAAATACTTGCAATCATTAAATGATAAAAGAATGATGTTACATTAATTTAACAAAAAGAAAAGGTTAATTGTTATTATTTTAATCATTTATTAATCGGTCATTTTGAGTACTCAAAAGTAAATTACCACGTACTAAATTACGGATATAACGAGACAATTTATTGTTTATATTTATAGGTGATCAATTAGGTTTATTTTTTAAGTAAAAAACTAGTTTGTCATGTAAATTATTTTTTAATATTTTGTGACAATAAGAGTTTCATTAAAAAAAAAAGTCAAATGCATAAAGACAAATATTGAAACTTTTAAAATATTAGAGATATAAACAAAATACCTCAAAAGAAATGAAAATTTTGGAAAGAAAATACTATAGCATTAGGGAATAAAGTATAAATTTAGCCACTGAAAGTATANTCTAGTAAAAGACATTTTGGACCTACAAACCACTATATATATATATATAAACTTTTTTTCTCACTCTATATTAAAAAATTATTTTTTTATTTTTTTTAGAAAATTATATTAATTATTGGTAAGTAAAAGTCTCCAAAATATTGATGGATTTTCATAGAGTAATTTTGCCACAATGCGAAAAAAAAAGAAAAGAAAAAAAATTTAAATCCATTAATATAATAAAGTACAAACAAATTTAATTAATTGTAAATATAGCGACTAACTTTACGAATTTACAAATATAATAAAATAAATAAAAATCAAATGCAATAAAAAAAGATTAAAATTAACATTGAAATGTCTATTAGTAATATAGGCCATCGGTGATAAACTATATCATTGATATAGTCCATCTTGATAATCGTGAATAAATAATTTACAAGAATAAGAAGAAAATTATCTTAAAATACTTAAATAGACGTGTGAAAAATTTAAAAAAATGGTGATATTTACGAGTCATAATTCTACTACTATGTTTATAAATATGACAATTTGAAATCTTTAAGAAATAAAAAGATTCTAGAATATTTTGAGATGCACTAAAGTATTTTCTGAAATTTACGTCCCTATTTTTTGTTGTTAAAAATTAAGTTTTGTTATGTTTTTTAATATATCTCCTAAATAATCATAAAATATTTGTTAAAAAAAAAACATAAACAAAGCGGAATCTACTTTTTTTTCCTTGTGTATTTTTTGTAGTTCCAAAGTTTGGTTATGATTTTAAAAATGTTATCTATTTTATAGCTTTTATTTTAATAATGGTTCTATTTTCTTTATTTGTAATAATGTTTATTTTATTCTTTTTAAAAACTACTTTAGAATTTCAGCCAAATTTAGAAACTTAAAACATTTATTCATAAAACTTTAAACCCCTCTCATAGCCATTTTATTATTGATTTTTTATTTTTGAAAAATAAGCATGTAAAATAACAAAATAAATAAAATATTATTAATATAGACATAATATTAATATAATTTATTATTTTTAACTTATTTAAAAACAACGAAAAGTTTATTTGTTATAAATTTTTTATTTTTATAAATTTTCCATAAATATCTATCGACCTTAATATTTTATTGATATTTCTATAAAATTGAGATCTTGACTTCTTATCAATATAAAAACATCAATGTTATTAGAGATGGAAATAAAAGAGACATCACACATCTCTCAAACCAATAAAATTATATCTTAGTATATTTCAAGATTTTGTGGAAGTTCCTTCACAAATATTATTGGATAAATATATCACTAAATGGAATAAAAATAATATAGTACATATCCATTGAGGATATATTTTGACAGAGTAGCTTTCACCTTGTCTTTTTGTTGTATTTTTCTGAAAATTATTTTCTTTTATTATCATATTCTTTTATTTTCCATGAATAATTTTTTTTCTGTGATTAAAAAAACTAGATATTTGGATGTTTATGAGATATATTAAAATACAAAGAACAGTTACTGCAACTTGTCTTGTTGTTTGTCTTTAAATGATTTCCCATTTTCTCATCATATTAAAAGTTAATATTATATAACAAAATCTTACAAATAAAAATACCAGAGGGTGTAAGGGGGATTTTTTTACTCCTCACCTTCTCATTACTCCAAAGGTTACCATTTTTTTTAATGTAACTAACTAATTAATTAATTAATTTGTTTTAAAGGTTACATTAAGACACAAGATAGGAACCAAACCTCTAAATATATATGAAGAATATCTTCTTCGGTTAGATTGTTTTTATGTTAAAGTGTTTAAAATCGATTGGAGCATTATTCAATTGGCGAAAGTATTATTTACCTCTTTGAAAATTGAAGGTTTGAATCTCCCTCTTTTTATTAAACGTAACTAATAAAAACAGAATAAGTGTTTAGAAAGGAAAAAAAAGTTTTATATGTAAGAAAGAATAATTTAATGATAAATTAAGTTTGAAATTAACACATGAGGTACACGGTGTTGTTTTCTTTAAAGGTTGTGAAAAAGAAGGCTTCACGCATCATGCAACAATTATCATTAATATAATTTGGAAACATTAAATTCTTTATAATAAAAGATTATTGGAAAAGAGAACTGCTAAACTAAGAAAAGTGGAGTACGAAGAAAAAATTCTCTCTCATTTGTTGGGCGCAAGTGCCTCTTCTCCTTCTACTCTTCGTGAAGGGTGTGCGTTTTTTTCAATCTTTTGACTGGATTTTTTTAAAAGGTATCCGTCTTTGCTTTGTTTCGATTTTTTCTGTAGTTTTTTTTTCAAGAAGTAAGTTGTATGGATCGAGATATTATGAGGACATCTTTTGCTGTTTTAGAAGAGATTTTCGGAGAAAATCCTTTTTCCATGCTGATTTCTATGGTGGCGGACAATGGCTGGTGGATGGGTTTCGGGGATCTCCTTATTGGATACTGATAGTGTTGTTGTGGTTGATAAAATCAAAAGAAACAATGTTATATTTATGGTTAGTGGCTTCGTTATCAAAATGTTTTGAAGAGTTTTGAGACATCGAATTGGAGAGAGCACCTGCCTGCGATCTCTTGGAACGACTCTTCATCTTCATTGAACCTGGTTTAGAAGGCTTCCATGGTTTAGAGACATGGATGATGAGCAGAAGGTGACAGACGACGGAGGTGTGGTGGAGATCGACTCGAACACAGTTTTGGGATCTTGAGATGCTGTTAATCTTAATATTATTGAAATTCGTGACTAGTATGATTTGGAGAATTTGCCTTATGTAGCATTTATGACTTTTCCTTCCTTGAAATTTAAAGCAAATGTGGAGGAAATTATTTTCTTTCAAATCCTCGATAGTGGTGCCATAAAAGACAAGATTTCTCCATTAATTAGGTTGATGATGTTGTGACTTTTGGGAAGGTGCTTCGCGTGTTGAAATTTGTTTATATTATTCGTTCTTTGAACAAACAAGTTGTTTCATGGCCAAGTGTGCTTCTAATCGTTTATCTGTCCTTTGAGATAGTTGTTTGAATATGATGCGTGATCACCACTGTTTCTGTTGCAACCCTTAGTGGCCCTTTTTTTAATGCAGTATTTCCTTGATCTAAAACAAAGATTGAAATTTATTATTATTATTTTTTTTGAAAGCGAGCTTCAAGAGGCCGTGAGTTCGATTTCCACTCCACATGTCGTCATCAAAAGAAAATTTTTTTTCTTAATATAATAATTTATTCTTTCTTTTTACATCTCCATCCCTAACCTCGACTAAAAAGTCTGAAGATCGAATCTCCACTCGTAAATTAAAAAAAATCAAGCTCCAATTCACACAATTCTAAAGTTTTGCATCAGTCCAACTTAATTTTATACTAAATTTAATTTTTATTAAATTAGTTAAGTCTTTGTAGTTAGTTATATTACTTTTTTTGTTAATTTTAAAATTGTTTTTACATTTGTGGGTGGGGAATCAAATTTACAACCTCTTCGATTTGATTTGAGATATATGCTTTAGTTGTTTTTTCCTAACTTGTGAGATGCTTTTTAAAGTTTAGAGATCAATTCGACACAAACTTGAAATTAAAAAGATTTATTAGTTAGTTTTTTAAGTTCAAGAACCACACAATGATTGATAGTTTAGAGACTTTATTTGAAAAATTTTATAATTTAGAGACCTAGCTATTAGATACACACTTCTAAATTCAATGGCCAAACTATAATTTAATCTCACGGTTAAGTTATTATTCTTCATTTCTACTCATAGTTATATATGTTGGGTTTGTAAGGATTGCAAATAAAGTCTTACATTGGCTAGGGAAGTGAATGATCATGGGTATATAAGAGATGACAATTATCGGTGTGAGACATTTTGGGTGAAACCAAAAGCAAAGCCGTGAGATTTATGCCCAAAACGAACAATATCATAACATTTTCTACACTCTCTCTATTCTTTGGTTACACAACACATACATACGAAAACGAAAAAAATCTCGCACATCACATCTTGCAAGAGATTACTCTATGAAGTCCCACCATGTGGTTGTTTGAACGTAATTGTATCAACCTCTAAAACGAGTCGAAGGAGGACAACCTCATTATTCTCGACTCTGATTTTGCATCGACCAGTATAAAATCGTCAGCCACACTATGTTTCAACTCACTCGAATAATTTCTCTCGTCTCGTCTCGTCCACGCGCACACACACGACCACACAATCATAATGTGGTTTTGTTTTGGTAGCAAACGCACAGCCGCCACAAGTAAGGACAACGACAGTGCCATTCCCGTACTCACATCCAACAGGCCCGCCATCACGTGCAATCCCTTGTTTTATTTATTTATTACTCCAACATTTTCTATTACCTATTTTTCCTTCATTTTAAATACTAGTAATAATAGTAATAATAATAATAATTTTTTCTTTCTTTTTACATATAAATAAATATATTCCCAGCCAAACTAAACGACATCATTTTGGATTTCTTTCATGGATACTCTCCCACCTGCCCCCTTCCCTCTTTTTCCCTCAGATTCTTATCCATCCATAT